AATTGTCGAACACGATTACGAAACGACACGATTTTAAGTAAACTTACGCATCTGATAACTGAAATTTTTGCATCGAGTCGAGACGAAATTAGGGATTCATGGCACTAAGGGAAGAAAAAGGGGTGGTATGGAGAAGGTGTCGAGAAGGAGAAGGATCGTTATCGACACCGTCAGCTCCGGTGTGTAAAGCCGTGTAAGTTACGCGTCACGGGTCCAGCGGCTGTTCGAGAGGATAGGAGGTCCGAGCAAAGGAGGAGAAAGAGAGGACGGAAGAGAGGGTAGAGTAGTGAAGCCCCTCCCTTGGGCCCCCTCCCCGTGGGCCCGAGAATCCCTCCGGTCGTCCAGCAGGACCCCCCACCAAAGGTACGAGAGGACCCGCGGCCCACCTGTGCCGCGGATGGACCCTGCACGCTTCTCTGCTGATCCGACGCACAGTGTGCCCATAAGGCCCATTCGAAGTATACTTACGAGAGCGCACGAGCCTCCAGCCAGCGACCGAACGAACAACAAACGAACGAACGAACGAACGAACGAACGAGCGGCCGACCGATCGAGCGAACGAAGTGGGACCGTAGAAAATAATTAGAGGTGGGGGCTGATTCAAGAATCGACGTGGACACCCTCGCCTTCCAAAGTCATTCACCTAACGGTCATCGCCGCGTCAAGAATCTTTCTCTTCTTCTTCTTCTTTTTCTTCGTCCTCTTTCTTTCCTCCTTCTACTTTTTTTTTTTTCTTTTGCCATCTCTTCTGTTATCCGGCGTGCTCTTTAATAATTCGTTGAAAGAAGAAGTACCATCGGTACCAGTACGATTAAACTTCAGAAAAACAGTGGACTTGGCTTTCGTTTCATTCGAGAGTCATTCGAAGGATCAAAGTGACGTGAACTGTTTATCTGTTACTCGCGAATTAATTTACGCAGAATTTCGAACTGGAATAGTACTACTATCGGTGCAGACGATGCAGTGACAAAATTTAGCTTTTGGTTTTCTATGAGAGAACAAGTGAGTTTACAAGTGAACCGGATGGAACTCGAGTTGAGCGGAAGACTTTGGAGGAATCGTGGTACCCGACGCTCCAAGTGACTGCGTACAAGTGATCATCAGTGTCGCAGATCTGTTGATACATCGTAATGACAAAGTGTCGGATGCTGTATCTGTATATTTAAGGAAAGGATCATTCTGTCGTTGATAGATCTCGCGTAATCGTCTCGGTGTTCAAGGTATGCGATCACGTTGATCTACGAAAGGCAATCGGTTAAGACTGGAAGAAGCGATTTCCGAATCTGACAACTGGCAATTACGGGTTTCCTCATCGCGTTTAATCCGAATGGTATCGCGCTGTCGCTCGAAGTTAATAACAACGATCTTACTCTTTAGATCTACTCGCTGGGTATCCTCGTCCGCGTTTATTTCGCGATACATTCGTCACGTTTAGAAACGGATCGCCCGGTACGCCTACGAGCCGAGCAGAAGAACCGAAGGACGAGCTCTGTGTTTCGTAATTCGAGCGCGTGCTGTTGGCCGATTTCTTTACCCTCGATCGCGACACGGTACGAAAACCGTCATTGGTGATCTTTGGCGATAGACTTTGACGATAGTAAAACGTGTTCGACATGAGAATTCATTGCCGACCCAACTGGGAAGCCTTGGGGCGTCGTGATTAGGCTAATCATTTGATTCATTAGACACTGCGCGAGGAGATCGATATCGCGTCTTTTGTTCGAGATAAGATTCCACGTGAAACTCAATTTTGACATCTGTCCGTTTGGAAATATCCCGTAATGAGGTTACATTGCAGCGATGAGATGAAATCGTACAGATTCAAAGCTGATTCACGCGGCAAAGAGACCGAGGACCTCGTCTCGTTACGTGCACCATGTCGCGTTTCTGGCCGAGCATATTCGACGGCGATACAATAGGCGCACGTACAGCGCGTTGCGCGATAGTTCCATAGGAATCTGAACGAACTGGCTATCAAAGAGCGATAGAATAATAGCGTCGGAAACAAACGTTGCATCGCGCGAAGGCCGATCGCCGGAGCACGCGTTGCGGAACGCCGTTTCGTTTCGAAAGACCGGAAGTCACTCTCTGCAAACTGGATCGCGATGCCTCGCGAAGATGAGGCCGAAAAGACGCCGCATGATAAATAAACTTGTGTGACGATTCGACAGTCATTACCGCACCTTGAATTGTTTGTGGATTTATGAAAAATCCAGGAGGATGAACGAAAGCATAGAATATGCGGAAATGTACAGAAAAAAAAAAAAAGAAAGTATACCATTGATTACCATAGAGTCAAGCTATTATCATTAATTAGATCCAAGTGTATTGAATTTCGCACAATTTTAATACGTTTTTTTATACATTTTTTTGAAGAAGAAAATTCGAACGAAACGTTTCAAAAATCACGTAGCAAGGATCGCTGTTTTTTTTTTATTGCACGTCGTCCTTGATAATAACGGTCCCAGCGTATCGAACAGTAAAAAAATGACCTGCCCGTGTCTACCCTGGCGATCCGCTCGACAAACTTTGCTTTAGTACCTTGGTAAAGGACGAGGTGTTGTTCGCCAATAAAAAGGTAAATAACGGTCTCCGAGTCGAACTTCCAAAAAAGAGCCTCTTTTTTTTACGATCTTGGAGGGGAAGTTTAAAAATCGCCGAGCATAAAACATAGCTAGGAAGATTTAGAGGAAATTTTTAGCACGTTGGGTCGTTGTTTGGTCGTAAAGCGGCAGGAAAGAATAATCCAGCGGAGAATCCGTGTTTCTTGAAAACGGAACTAAACTCATTTCCGTAGGCATACACGTCCGTCGTGGGAAAAAGGAAAATTCTACGGTCGTACTTAGACGACGTGCCGCGACGAAAGTAACGAAGCGTCGGTCATTTAAAATAGTTCCGCTAAAACAGCCGTGCGACGACTTTCACATGCGCATGTAAATGAAGAAAAAATCCACCGATTCCGAAGAGACCTCTTCTAACGATCGATTGGCCAGCACACGGTGTCGTCGTTTAATTAATGCTCGAAGCAGCGTCTACGGTGACTGGTCGCTTTTAGCAAAATCCTCGTGCAGATTGTGTGTGTGTGTGTGTGTGTGTGTAGCAGGCACAAAGCGGAAGAGCGAACGTGGTAGGTGTTTTTATCGAGAAGGTCACCTGTAGAAAGGAGGACAATCACCGAGCGGCAGTGTAGGAACTTCGATTGATCCCTTTGAACGTTTGAACGGTGCCGGTTGCACCTTCTCGTTCCGTCGACTCTCCGTGTCGTTCCATGGAGTCGAACGATGATCGCCAGCACTATCGGCGGGAGAGCCGATTGCGCTGAAAGTTACGAGCGGCGGCTCTCGTTACGATTCTCACGGCTTCGATCGGCTAGCGCAACAATTGCGCCCGCGAGATCTCGCGCCTCGTGGCGATCCCCGGCTGATCTTGACGACGATCCTTATATTACTCGAAGGTGATCATCGTATGAAAACAGACCGCCGCGTCTGCTCGTTGATAATCGGTCGAATTCCCCTCCAATAGCCTTTTCACATTCATGACACATAATAATAATAATAATAATAATAAAACCCGGGTGAACTTTCTCTCCCTTTGTAACTCGAATAACTTTTCCTTCGAATAATGGACGTACGCTTTCCGTTATCAATCTCCGCGCGGGATCAGACACGTTTACCTGAAATAATTATCGTTCGAACGTCGTACATTGTACGGCCATTAGGTACAGCGCAGGGGTACAGCGATTTCGTTAAGTAACTTCTAAACAGGATCTATCGACGCAAATGCGAGGCCGTCTTAATTAATCAACAGTTTTATTGTGACCGCGGAGGAACGATAATTAAAAGTCATTTGTTAAAGCAGAAGGTTAAATCATCTATCATTCTTTTCGCGTCTTGTATTCTATTAAGCCCACAAGAGCCGGGTATATCACCGCGCGCGGCGTATCCGTTGCGACACGCCAACGTAACAATATGGCTTAAACGTTGGCAACTCGCATCGAACGCTCGAGTATGCAGGCACCCCCTGAATGGCTCACCGGATGCACACCTGCAATCAGTGCAGGTTGCAATAGCTCGGGCGCATCGTCGAGTTGCCATGACTCTGCCGAGGATCGATCGGTCCAATAGTAAACATCTATCGGTAATTAATAGTATAGAACAAGAACCTGTCGAGCTCAGCACACGCAGAGAAGAGATATCTCCCCTCTTAAAATATCAACAAGGCCCAGAGGCTACGTTTAACGAGACTACGACGTCATTTAAATTCAATTAACCGGCCATCTGTTACTCTTTGTTTATCCAATTCTCCGCGTTTAGCGTTCCGTTGCGATATTACCGCGTTCAATCGATTTCGCACGGGGGTAATCGTCGAGGTCCGGCAAACAAACCGCGACGATTGCTTCACGTGGATACGCCGGTTTTTCCGCTCGATTCGAAAATGTTCTGTAGCAATACTGTTAGCACGAGCCCGTGAAAAGATCGTTCTCTTTCTTCTCTCTCTCTCTCTCTCTCCCTCTCTAGCTCTTTTATATTTTTCGAGTAGGAAACCGAGTCGTCATACAGCGAGTATATATTCGCATGCTGTTACAGCTAATTTATCCGAAAGAAAAAGAAATTGTACGGGTCTAGTGACAACGAGCGTGCACCGTTTATAAAAGTGGCGGAGGACAACGAGGAAGAGACGAAGAAGACGGCGGAGAAGAGGTTGGACGCGCGCGGCTCGTGTCTAAACAGAAAAGAAAAGAATCGAACGCGGAATTAAGAGTATGCATAGGCCGACGTCGAGGCGTCCAGCGTCCAGCGTCCGCGAATGAGAAGTGTCAACGACTGTGGGGTGTAGGTCAGGAAAGAGAGACTCCGTTGATCAAACAATCGATGTCTCTTCCATTAGCTGAGATTTACTTTCCCATTTAGCGACAGTCTGTCATGTATGAAAGTCGCCGCAGGTGACACCGACGAGCGAGATACCCTCGGGCTACGTATGTGGGTCACCGCTATTGTCCTATATTCCCTCCTCATTGTAATTCACCAGATGCAGAGACGATCGTCTAAGTAAAAAGGAAGGCGAGAAAGAAGAGAAGCGTATGGAGAACCGCGTAATCGCAACATCTCGACTCGATCGGTCGAACAATTAACGAACAGAGGCCACGCCTGGTAATACGAGGAGAAAATTTTCAAAGTGTGGAGTATTGTGCAAGCGGCTTCACGATTTACGGGCGCAAGGAAGACGCAGTAAGGGAATAGAAGCGGCGAGGTGTGAAAACGAGACCGCAGCGATCTGTTTTCTGGACGAGCGGCCAAAGAAGGCGAAAGGAACTAGCCAGACTATGGAGGGAGAGAAACCACCATCGCGAAAGAATTACAAAGAAAGAGAGGGAGCGGGAGAGAAAAAAGAAGCAAGTGCACGAGGGTTTTCCGCTCGTTGAACGTAACACGCACCGCTTTGCCACGATCCAGCGATTCGCGCGTATCGCGCAAACCGGCGAATTGCGCAACGAGCTTCTTCTCTTGCCCAATCGTACGATCGGTTGTGGGCACACGATAAGACTCGCATTGTGATTTTGTCGAACGTTTGAAATGTACGCGAGCGCATTACGCGACATCGATTCGTTGTTTTCCCCCACGTTGGTTTCGTCATTTACCGTAACGGAAGCCCGTAATCGTCGGAAGAATTACGAATTGCTTGGAGGAACAAAGTTTCGTTATCGTCGATGTGGATGGAATAACGCGCGCACCGTGTCCATTTCAAATATAACGGGACGAAATCAAAGCAGGATGTTGTCTTTCTGTTGCAGATGAATCAACAGTGCAAGGTGTGCGGAGAACCCGCGGCAGGCTTCCACTTCGGAGCGTTCACCTGCGAGGGCTGCAAGGTGAGTTTGCGGATCATTTCAACGATACGATACGATACGATACGATACGATACAGGGTTCATGGAAATTCGAACGGCCGAGATAGCGATCAAATTGAAACGGGGATAATTGAAAGACGACCATCGTCTTGTAATTCGGTTGTAATAAAAGTTTCGTTGTTGATGGTTTTCTCTATCTAGCTATCGCGAATGTATTGATCCGAAGGAAATCGATACACGTAAGAGAGAGAGAGAGAGAGAGAGAGAGAGAGA